AACTTTAACAGACTTCATTGAATACATGATCCATGTAATCTGTTAAGCTTTAACACTTATCATATTTTTGAAAGCTTTTCTTCTCAAAATCCATCACAACACACTTGAAAATTAATTTTCCAAACATACGAGTTTTAATCGATTTAACCACTAATGTAATCAGTTCAAAACTTGTTGTTTTGCCACAGTTTGAAAGTTAAGTTGTCTGATGACTTTAATTGATTAACACACCATTGTAATCGATTAAGTCATACAAATATGCTTGGTGCATGTTGTTTTTCCATTTCCAAAACTCATATTATGCATACACGAATATAATCACATTTCAAACATATTAATATGCAATAATCAACACAATATGTCCACAACTATGCTTTGTACAAAACTCATAGTAAGCATAAGCATATATAACAAAAGTAACACAATACATACACATGTGTTTTTATTAACAATGTGTTGTCATAATCAAAAACAGATATCACAGAGATTGTGGGTTCAATTAACACTATGCTCCCCCTATCAACAATCTCAACAGGGTGTTCCAACCGGTAAGCTCCATTTTTAGGTTTTCAACCACCCTGAAAGAACCCTCCCAATTTGCAGCCAGCTTTCCATCCGTTCGTTTGCACCGAGCGTCTCCAGTCTTTCGCCACACTAGATCTCCCTCAGCAAACTGCCTTAGTTTTATCTTAGTGTTATAGCGGCGAGCAATGAGCCTTTTCTAAGCTTCCGCTCGGAAACAACAATTTCTCTTCTTTCTGCTAAGGTATCCTCCACCGAACGGCTGCACACAACCATGTCGTCCACATAAACCTCCATGCACTACCCAATTTAATGACAAAAGACTTTGTCCATCAAATGTTGATATGTAGCCCCTACATTCTTCAACCCGAATGACACTACTTCATAGCAATAATTTGACCGCTCAGTAATGAAAGTTGTTTTATCACTATCAGGGAGGGTACATGGGGATCTGATTATAACCCGAATAGGCATCCAAAAAACTTAAAACTTGGAACCCTGACGCCCTATCTACCAAAGCATCAATGCTCGGAAGAGGATAAGAGTCTTTAGGGCATGCTTTGTTTAAGTCTGTGCACATCCTCCACTGCCCATTCGACTTTTTCACCATAACAACATTCGCCATCCAAGTAGTATACTTGACTTCACGAATGAATTTTTCCTCAAGGAGCTTCTTCACCTCGACCTCCACCGCCAACCTTTTCTCCTTCCTAAGCCTCCTCTTCTTCTGCGCCACCGGGCGGGCCTCCTTAAACAATGCCAATTTATTCGACATAACTTTTGGGTGAATTCCCGGCATGTCGGCTCCGATCCAAGCAAACAACTCTCTGTTTTTCTTTAGCTGCTTGCCTATCAGCTTGGCTTGTTCCTCTCCCAACTCATTCCTAATGGAAGTAACCTGGTCCTCCTTGCGCCCAAGATCGAACAGTCTCCTTTCTCCCAGTGGCTCTATCCGGTCGTCAGTATTGGCTCTAACTCTGTCATTGCTACCTCCGACCGTTTGACTTTTCGCCTAGAAGTTGAGGGTTCAACCTTCAGGCTCGCAACGTAAGACTCCCGAGCAACCTTCTAATCTGCCCGGATGGTGCAAATGGTACCCTTGTTAGAAGGAAACTTAAGGGTTAGGTGGGTGTTGAGACGATTGCCCCAAAAGCATTTAGGTAGGGTCTGCCTAAAATCACGTTGTATGGGGTGCTAGCTTCTACCAACAACAATATGGTCTTCAGCTCCTTAGCACCCCGTTTGGTTCCTAGGCACGTTCTCAAATCTACGTACCCTCGGGTATTTACTCTTTCTCCAGCAAACCCTACAATATGCTCGTTGTAGGGCACGACCAAGTGCTCCGACAAATCCATTTGCTATAAAGTCTTCCAGTATAGGATGTTGACCGAACTATCTTGATCGATCAAAACTTTGCCAATGCTGTATCGAGCAATAACAGCGGTGATCACCATAGGATCGTTCTGCTCGAGATCGGGAGCATGAAAATCCTCATCAGTAAAGGTAATCGGTGTCATCGAGCATTTTTTACGTCCACCCTATGCACACTTTTTAGCTCCCTCAAACTCCTCTTCCTCGCAGATGCCGACGACCCTCCTGCAACAAAGCCTCAAGAAATATTGTTAATGATGTCATCCAACAGTTGATCATGACTTTGACTTCCGTTGCGACGACGATCCTCCCTAGGATCAGACCGCTTGGATCTCCCTCTCCTTGGTGGACTTTTTTCCACCCGCTTACTCCTCACGAACCTTCTAAAATGCCCCGCCCTTAACAATTCTTCAACCTTGTCTCTTAGAGTGGTGCATTCTTCACTGGTATGCCCCATATTCTGGTAATAGATGCAATGCTTCGTATCATCCGCATTCTTAGGCTTCAATTTTTTATTCAATGGGGGAAGGAGATCCGCGCTCAGGGCTTCCTCCAAAATTCTCGCCCTTGGCGCATTCAGTTGGGTATACCGCTCAAATCTGGGGTCTTTCGGACTATCTTTGAACTTTTTCCCTTTCTTTCGTTTGTTTGGAACGAGCTTCTTCTTACCCTCTTTCTTCTCTTGGCCTGAGGACGAAGTATTCTCTTCGTGCCGCCTTTTTTGGATAGCTCGCATTTCCTCAATCCGAATGAATTCAGGCGCCCTATCTTGCAATTCGTCCATTGTCATGGGTGGTCGTGCGAATAGGCTTTCCACCAAAGAACAAGGTCTTAAAGCAGTAGACAAGGTGCTCATTATGAATTTCTTACCCACGCCCTTCACCTGCCATACGATCTGATTATAACGGTGGATAAAATCCCTCAGGCCTTCGCCTTTCTCCTGCTTGATTTTAGTCAGCTCCATGTATGTAAGACTTTGCATCTTACTGGAGGCAAACTCTCGCTCAAATAGGTGTCTCAAGGTCTCAAAACTGTCAATGGTCCTGGGCCGAAGAAAATGGAACAGCCTCCCCTTTAACCGATAGGGAAAAAACCCTGCACCACACACTCTCATTGGGTGATTAGATAGCCATGACATCTGCAAATGACCTTAGATGCTCCTCTAGATCCCCTGATCCATCATATTTTTCAAGAGTTGAGAGCATCCTATCCGACATTGGCTCCTCCATGACTGCAGCTGTAAAAGGGTGAAGCGCCCTTTCCCGAGCGGCGTTTGTTGGTCGGACAAGGGGGCTTCTGGAACTGTTCTCCTCCTGATCAGAATCCTCATGATCAGTTTCAGAAAATTCCACAATGGGAGTTCGAGTGGGTGTCGCCGACTGCTGATTCGGCGGGGCCCTCTGTCCCACATCGCGGTCCCTTTGCCCCACATCGCGGTCCCTTAGCGTTGCATCCCGCTCGGCTCTCAAAGTCGTGATCTCCGTCTGCATGGCCTCCATATGTCTTCTCATCTCCTGCATCATCGCTACTGGGTCTTGTGCTGCCATCCTTATGGTCTCGTTAGGGTGTCTTCAAAATCTTTATGGAAATGGGATGAGGATAACCAGCTGAAGAGTTCCTGTCTCTGCCGAACGTCCTCCTTGCTCCTTGCTCCAGATAACCGATCGGTGTAGGGGGATGACCTGCAGAATAGACTCCGACGCTCAAGTCAGAATTTTTCTCTATAGGCCTTGTGTAATTCAATAGTGAGTAAAAGTGTCTTTACCTCAAAATTAAACCCTTATTTATACAGTTTAAAAGAATCTAACCAATTAATCTACCTCTTTATCATTAATACAAACCTTAACCGTTTAACAGTAACCGTTGTGACATTAATTGCGCCTTAATTCTACTCAACAATTGTCGGGACTGACGTCATGAAATGCGTTTTAGCATATCAACCGCTCGGTCCTTTCAGTCTTTTCCAATTATTTTGCCACCTTACCCGATGATGTGTCAGCTATAAACCCATAGTAACACTTCTCATGAAATACCCGTTAGTTTCCCTTGCAAACAATAAGGTTGAAGCAGTCAGCATCTTAAGGGGACTTGTCGTAGCAAGTCTGCTCGGTCCACCATTGCAATTGACTCCCGTAGATTTGATTCATGGATTCAAAATGACTCTAAGTTCTATGTTCACTACTTAAAATCCATCCGTCAGCACTGAAGTCACGAGAAATTAAATGCGTGAAAATCTAAAAAGAGCACATTGCGTAGGAAACTTGGGAACATCCATGACATAGACACCACCGACTTATTCAACATCAACACTTCCCTCTAATTCTTTCATATTTGCCAAAGAATTTAAACATTTTGATCTAATATATTCATATGAACTATAAAATTCTGGTGTAGTTATCTTTGTTGCGCCCAAGAAGCTCTGGTATTTATGTAAAGAATCAGTGTATTCTTCTCTGGCAAGCAGTTGGATTGGGTCAGTGGTAAATTCTTTCTCTATTCTGAATTTTACCATCACTTAGGAACAATCAAAAATGAAAAGTTTGACTAATATGATTTATTATTGTTTTCCCATGTTTTAATTGAAAGAGAACTGGTTAAGAATGTAAATTCCTCCTGAGAAGAGTGGTTTTGTGGTGTCTAAATTGAAAAGTAACTTCTAAAAAAGCAAAACAAAAGGAGTAGTGAATATGAATTGTTCGCTGAAATGCGTAAATATATTCGCCTATTTTCTTTGTATTATTGGTCAAGCTCATTTTGGATGTTGTTTTTCTTTGAATTAAGCTGACAATAGTCCTAAGGGCACAGCCAGAACAGATTGGTCTTCTACAATTGTCTTTTACTTTAAACCTAATTTCAGTTATCTGATTAGATTTTGAGTTGTAATTGATATGCTTGTCCATCTCTTAATTTAAGTGTTAAACATGTTTTAAATGGTTAGAAAGTAGAAAATAAGAATATGTCTTGGTGCCATCTGCATGACTGCGTATGCTGTGATGAACTTATTTTGAATATTCATGTTCTTCTCTATTTGATGTGAATTTTGTCAGGTTAACCACATGTTATGTTTGAAAGAATGGAGCATAAGTTTTCCCAAGTGATAAGCAATACTTGAAATTCATAATGGTTGAGCAGAAAGTTATCGGTGTTGTTGCTTCATCCTCTTACTCTCCTTCAGTGTTATCTTCTAAAAGATATGATGTGTTTCTAAGCTTTCGAGGTGAGGACACCCGCAAAAAATTCACAAGCCATCTTTATGATGCTTTGAAGCAAAAGAAGGTTGAAACCTTTATCGACAATCGTCTTGAAAAGGGAGAGGAGATCTCAACAACACTAATCCAAGTAATTGAAGATTCTCATATATCTATTGTCATCTTCTCAGAGAACTATGCTTCCTCAAAGTGGTGCTTGGGTGAACTCAGCAAGATTATGGAATGTAAGAAAGAAAGAGGACAGATTGTGATACCAGTGTTCTATGACATAGATCCATCCCATGTAAGGAAGCAGACAGGAAGCTATGAGAAATTATTTGTAACACATAAGGGAGAACCCATGTGCAACAAATGGAAAGCTGCTCTCACTGAAGCAGCCAATTTAACTGCATGGGACTCTCGGACATACAGGTAAACTAATTTGAGAGTGAGTGAAGTTGAGTTGTCCAAATTTGGTTTTAAATTATGCCAAATTTGATTTTAAATTAAGAATTCATACAATTGTCTATCACAGCTTGAGAAGCTTTCATACTAGTTCTAACCAAGCATAAACACCTTTCATACAATCTGTTTTCAGAATCCAAATTTGATCTTAAATTAAGCATGCATAAACACCTTTCATACTAGTTTGCTTGAGAAGCTTGCTGCATAGAAAAAACAAAGGCTTTTATTTGGGTTTAGTTCAAACTTTAATTTGGTCATATCACCATGATCTTCAACACATTTTGGTTACTCATCTGCACTACCATTGTTGGTCATGGATTATGTGTAGTACTTTCATAGTTGCTTGTTTTAGTTTTGAATTTGTTAGACTATCTACACATCATTTATTTATGTTTCTCTTTTCACATGCAAGGGTTGAATCTGAACTCCTTAAGGATATTGTTGAAGATGTTTTGCAAAAATTGGCTCCTATATACCCAAACTGGCACAAAGGATTGGTTGGAATTGAGGAAAACTATGAAAAGATTGAGTCATTGCTAAAAGTAGGGTCAAATGAAGTTAAAATCTTGGGAATATGGGGCATGGGTGGAATAGGTAAAACCACCCTTGCTTGTGCTCTATATGACAAACTATCTCACGAGTTTGAAGGTCACTGCTTCCTTGAAAATGTAAGGGAAGAATCAGACAAGCATGGAGTCAAAGCCTTACGTAATAAGCTTTTTTCTGAGTTGTTAGGGAATAAAAATCATTGTTTTGATGTAGCCTTTTCAGTAACCAAGTTTGTTTTGAGTAGGCTAGGACGCAAAAAAGTTTTCATAGTCTTGGATGATGTGGCTACCTCTGAGCAATTAGAAAATCTAATTGAATATTTTGATTTCATGGGACTCGGAAGTAGAGTCGTTGTTACAAGTAGAAACAAGCAAATATTTAGCCAAGTTGATAAAATATATGAAGTCAAGGAATTGAGCTTTCATCACTCCCTTCAACTTTTCAGTTTGACTGTTTTTAGAGAAAAACAACCTAAATATGGATACGAAGATCTATCAAGAAGTGCAACCTCCTATTGCAAAGGTGTTCCTTTGGCTTTGAAAGTTCTTGGTGCAAGTCTTCGTTCAAGAAGTAAGGGAGCATGGGAATGTGAATTGAGAAAACTCCAAAAGTTTCCAAATATGAAAATTCACACTGTCTTAAAATTAAGTTATGATGACTTAGATCACTCTCAGAAGGACATATTTCTAGACATTGCATGCTTCTTTAGAGGGAACCAGAGAGATCATGTGACAAACATGTTGGAAGCTTTTGATTTTTCTGCAATATCTGGGATAGAAGTGCTTCTGGATAGAGCTCTGATAACAATTTCAGGGGGCAATCGACTAGAAATGCATGACTTGATACAAGAAATGGGTTGGGAAATTGTTCATCAAGAATGTGTCAAAGACCCTGGAAGACGAAGTCGGTTGTGGAAACATGAGGAAGTGCATGAAGTCTTCAAATACAACAAGGTAAATTAAAAACATTTTTGCTTCTATATGTTAATTTAAGTATACTTTAAGAATTTAGCTAGTACCTGCTAATGACTATTCCATGTTTGTTTTGTTTGGTTTAGGGAACTGATATTGTTGAAGGCATAATTTTAGATTTGTCCAAATTAATTGAGGATATCTATTTGAGTTCTGATTTCCTTGCAAAGATGACTAACGTGAGATTTTTCAAAATCCATAGTTGGAGCAAGTTTAACATATTTAATGTGTATCTTCCTAATGGTCTTAATACTGTGTCTCATAAAATGAGGTACCTTCATTGGGATGGATTCTGTCTTGAGTCTTTGCCAGCTAACTTCTCTGCTGAAAAACTTGTGGAGCTTTGCATGCGTTGTAGCAAGCTTAAAAAGCTTTGGGATGGTGTTCAGGTATATGTACTACATTTATGATCTCAGTCAAATTTTTCTTATGCTTGAGGCTCATCATTTTGAATTTAACAACTTTTTAACAGAACCTTGTGAATTTGAAGACTATTGACCTGTGGGGATCCCGAGACTTGATTGAGATTCCAGACTTATCCTTGGCAGAAAAACTTGAAAATGTTTCTCTTTGCTATTGTGAAAGCTTGCATGAGGTCCATGTCCATTCAAAATCTCTTCGTGTACTGAACCTCTATGGTTGTTCATCACTAAGAAAATTTTCAGTGACATCAGAGGAATTGACAAGATTGAGCTTAGCTTTCACTTCTATATGTTCAATACCATCATCAATTTGGCACAAAAGGAAGCTCAAAGCTCTTTATCTAACGGGTTGTCGCAATCTCGGCGAGTTAACTGATGAACCAATAATTCATGGCTCTCACAAGCACTCCCTCACAGAATTGGCATCTAATGCTGAGAGATTTTCCATGAAGAACATCAAAAGCCTTTCAACATTGAGAATGCTTTGGTTAGATGATTGTAAGAAACTTGTGTCTTTGCCTAAGCTTCCACCATCCCTTGAGAAGTTGAGTGCTTGTAACTGCACTTCTCTAGACTCATACATGACTCAACGTCTAGTGTTGCAACACATGTTGCAGAGTCGCATACCCTACTTACGCAAGAACGATCTAAGATGTTATGAGGAAGAGTATTTATTTCCAGGAAACCATGTGATTGATGAATGTGTGTTTAACAGAACAGGGACTTCAATAACTATTCCTTATCTTTGGAAAACTGAATTGTATGGTTTCATTTATTTCATCATTCTCTCTAAGGGATCACTCTTGCAGTCTGGTGTTTCGTGTTCTGTTTATCAAGATGGCATAAGGGTTGGTTGGCTCCAGAGATTGTTGGAATACGAAAGTTTAACTTCGAATCACGTGCTATGTATGTATCATGACATTACTGAATTTGATGCAATAACTGAAGACGGGCATGGCCATTTCTTCAGCAACGTAACATTTATTTTTGAAAATAGTGAAGCAAGCATACAAGAGTTTGGCATCTTTCCCATATATGGCTCAGAATCAGGGTTGAAGCTGGTTGGGAGCAGATAAATTTGAGTCGAAATTCATTGATTCTGAAGTATATATTTACCAAAATTCTACTTTGAGTAATATGAAGAAGGAAAATGTTGAAAACTACTGTAGAAATAATGAAGAATGGATAGTTGTTCAATAAACCTCTTATATGTTGTTGTGTGCTATGAATGAATTTGCAATTTTCGTCACAAAAATTGTATGAAGGACTGTAAATTTTGACAATATTGTTTGTAATTTTGTCCGAAGAGTTGAAAAACAAGTTTGCAGTTATTATGAGAAAAACTATATGAGTTCGATCTCAAAGTTAAATTTATTGTCTACTTTTTTCCAGTAAAGAGGTTAAATGTAATGTATAATTTTATGTTTCCAGGAGCTTATTTTCCTATTGTCTAGTTCCAACAAAATTCAGTACTCAAATCTTTAAGGTTTAATACCTCTTTTGGTCCCTCGAAAGGGGGCAAAAGTTCAATTCGGTCCTACCTTTTTTTAGAAGTTCAATGTGGTCCCAACTTTTGTAAAAAGTGTGCAATCAAGTCCTTTTTGGAAACGGCGTTG